CTGGCCCATATAGTTCTGTTTCATCTACTGGCAGCATCTCTCTGGAATCCTAGGTAGGTTTTCCAAAGCCCTTTACTTGATCCTTTGAACTGGAGCTACTGTGAATGTACAGTATAGCCCTTTTTTATGCACCGTGAACAATGGCCCCTCACAAGCTAGGACATCTCTGTTTATTTAGTCAGACTCAGCACCACCTTAATCGTGTTTACTATTTTATATCATCAGGGTCAAGAGAAAGTGCTTTTTTTTAAACCACAGCAGGATAGCTTTCCTTGGAGGGGATTAGACACATGGTTTCTTTAAAAGGTATTGCATTATTCATTCACTTGGTCTGATTAATTTAACACAGCAGTAGTTGGAAGAATACTTCGAGTACACACTTCTGACTAACACATAACACTTCAGGTGATGTTCAGGGCAGGCTAAGCATAAGTAGACACAAGAACAGTAATATATAATTACAATCAGTTGCATATTTAAAAATTAATTTACTTTTTATTCTGAGTACTGTCCATTTACAATTTTAAGGTATACTGGCATCATGCTACACCTTACATGCAGTAGGGCAACTGCATCGCCAAGAAAACAGCCAGTTGTTTGAGGTGGGGTGGGGTGGGGTGGCTACTTGGAAAGAGTGAAAGCCAAAGACTTCATGCAGTCAAAATCAGGAATTGAATCCCTGTATCTGGTCACTCACACACTCACACACAAATATGTGCCTGCCTGCCTTCTTTCCTTCCTTCAGTTCAGATTAACGTGTAATCCTAGCAGACTATGAGATTCTTTCTGGGAGCTGTGACAGTCCACACAGCAGCCACTAAAGAGGAAAACTGGAATGAATCTGAATTGCATGGCTTTTTGTAAAGCCTCACCATGTACCGTGAATGAATGAGGAAGAAAGAGGCCAAGTCAGGACAAGCTGGAGGTGGCCTTTTTGAAAAAAGCATGTCACATATTATTTGCTCCTTCTAGCTCTGTTGAATATTATTCATACTAAGCAAGGAGAAGAAGGAGACAGAGATGTTGTATGGGAAGGGGGGCGGGGGAGGAAGGAGAGAGAGAATGAGCCAAGAAGCAATTTACATTATAAGTCCTGGACCCAGGGAAGCAGGGACAACGTTTGTTCTCTTTGAGCTCAGAGTGAGCAAAGTGAATGTTGCTTCTGATCTACAGAGAAGGTTTGGACAGTGGAGGAAGCACTGGGCTGTTCCAAAACAATCTGCCATCTGAAAAGAGGGACAATACGGCACCCATCCTGCTACATGTGGAAACTAACTACCTACGTAGACTAGCAGCAGGACATTTCTTTATTTGTGGCAATGGGATAGTTTTTTTCTACCACATGTGTGACCAGTTTACGGTGTCTAAAACAGGAGAACATCCATGATATTTAAGAGGGAAAGCTGGGAGGCTGCAATCTTTACAACTGTCCACCACCACCTGCTGTCTAAGACTGTTGGTTTTACTCCATCTAATGGTAGGTAAAAGTAAGGATGAAGGTTCCCCTTGACAACTGTCCAGTCGGGTCCGACTCTAGGACATGGTGCTCATCCCTGTTCCCAAGCCATAGAGCCAGCGTTTGTCCGAAGACAGTTTCCATGATCACTTGGCCAGCGTGGCTAGACACGCAACGCCGTCACCTTCCCACCGAGGTGGTACCTATTTATCTACTTGCATTTACATGCTTTCAAACTGCTTGGTTGGCAGGAGCTGGGACAAGTGACGGGAGCTCTCTCCGTCAGGTGGATTTGAACTGCTGGTCTTTCAACCTTGCAGCCCAGAGGTTTTGCGGTTTAAATTGCAGCGCCGCCATGTCCCTATTCTAACCAGCCAGCCTCAAAGACACAGAGCTGCTGCTGCTGCTGTGGCTGTTCTTGTTGTACTAGAACAATGTGAAGACCTATATAGAGGGTCCTCCATTGATGTCAACAACTGAAACCATTTCACACTGTATTGTGTTCATAATTGTTGTGGCCAGTTTGTTGGGACATGTTTTGTCAAGTCCCAGGCTGCTGCTAATGAAACTCCCTGAACTTAACTAAGCTAGTTCTTGGACAGTGGGCCCATCGTCTAGGACTTGGGCTATCGTTAAAGTCTTGGTAGAACCCGCCAGATCTTGCACTCCACTGACAGCCCAGGGTCACCTCCATGCCACGAGGATGTGGCACGGTTGGATTTTATGCAGGTGTTGCTGACATACATCACGTGTTAGATAGTATTGTCCCTCTTAGCACTTACTATGGGTCGTGCCCCCTTTTATGCTGCTGGAGTGGGCAAGGATTTTACTTGATTTAAATGCATCTGTCTGCCACTGGGAAGTAATTTTATATTAGTTTTAAAATATATATTTTATATAAATGAGGGGTTTCCTTACCTGATGCTGAATTTTGGCAGCAAGCCACAAACACCCAGCTGAAGCAAGCGAAATGGTATTAAACAGCTGTTTTTCCTGATTATGGTGGTGTGGTTTAGTTAATTGTACACTTATGAGGGTGCCTTCAGGACACCTCAGAAGGAGTCTTGGGGGCTGCATGACTCCCGCCCTCCTCCACAGTGGCTGCACAGCATAGGACCTCTCCTCAGGTTTGTAATGTTGCCAACAAGAGAGGGAATGGAAGGAAAGAGAAGAGAATGGAAGAGAAGAGAAGAATTTGATAATGCCAAGTTGCTAATAGGCATTTACAGCCAATTAGAGCAAGGCTGGTTTCCCTAAGCACTTTTGCTAGGACAGAGTTTGAGTAAACAGCCAACAGCTTTTGCTCTTCTGGCCAGTGATCAAGCTAGAAAGTCCTTCTTCTTGTTTCAGCACTTACAGGATAAATGAGAATCAAAACTGTGTTACTGCTTCGACATCAGGGTATTATGGGAGGCAGCTTTAGCTTTCTTGTACCTCTGCCAATGGCCTTCCTGATCATTCCCTGGACAACAACTAGGGCCGAGCTGTTCTTGTGCTGACTGGGGTGTTCCACTGTGGAGTATGAAACTTCCATGAGTTTTTAGGTTATTTTCTTTATATAGTGACTTTTTCCATTGCTTCCTACACAGTCACTCATATCCCTTCCTTTTCCTGAGCTACCTCAGTTGCTTTGCCCTATTTCCACTAAGCTGCAATGCTTCACACAAGAACACTTGAGGAAACACTGGTTTTATCTAGTTAAATACAGATGCAGTATATTAAACAGATGTATAAAAAGCTGGGAGTCAGTATCGAGATTATTTGTTGCAAGGGATTAATGATGAAAGTTGAAATTAAGGGCTTCTCTACATGCTTTTTTGGAGTAAGCTGGTGTGGGCTAAATAAGGTCACTTGGGGTTCAGTAGAAGTGTGATGTGCCATTTGGTGCAATCCTCACATCCAAAGGGCATTTCGGAGCTCAAGTGACCTTATTCCTGCAGCAAAATCCACTGCCGAGTATATTTACAAAGTGGGGTGCGATTGGTGGCAGAAGCAGGACCACTAAAAGGCAAGGCAGAGTGGAAAGTGAGTTCCGTACCCCAGAAAGTGAAGCAGAACAGGCTCCCACATGCTCAGCAACACCTCATAAGTGAAATGCCCAAGTTTACAGGGTAGTCAAGTATATGTTCATACACCTGCTCCTGTTCTCTCTCACTCTCTCTTTTTCTCCAAAGTAGAGAAAAGGAGTCATCACTAGCTCCTTCCCCACCTCATCCAGGCTTATTAAGTCACTTCTCAACACTGGAATTTCTAATTGGAAGGAGCTGTGACAGCCAGATAGTTCACTTTTGGTCTATTTCCAGCAAATGCACATGCCTGAAATGGATCAAACCACAGCAATCCTACCTGCACCAAAAAAGTAGAAGCCCCTGACGGGCTTAGAAAGGCCAGGCAGGACCCCTAAGTAATTTAGTTTACTCGAACAATTACATCATGTGCTCACTGGGAAAATGGAGCAAACAATTGCCCTGAGAATCAGAGTTTAGGTGTAGTTTGATTAGGATTTCTAATCTGAAAGAGTACAAAGCACTGAATTCGGGTCTATGAAGGGGAAGATAAAATTGTTCAGTTTACCAACTGCTGGCCACAGATAGTAAAAACAACAACATGTCTTTCTGATTGTGGATAATTGGAAAGAAGAGAACAGCATTAGCTCCACTCCCTTTTTTTGTTAGGAGCCCTCAAAACACCATCCCAACTCTGACCTTCACCATGGCCCTGAAACCTAAATTGGAAGATTACCAGCTAACCAAACACCAGACAAAAGCCTTCAGTATGACTTCCTCCTCCCGTCTCTGTCATTTGCTACCGATAACCCCTCCTCTTGCCTCCTCTTCTCTGCTTCTCCGCCAGCTGGTACGCAAGGTATTTCCTGAGCATTCCCCAGGGAAAGGTAATGGGCAAAGATCGGGTAAAGGAAGGCTGCAGCAGAAGGAAGTGATGGAGCTTCCCGAGAGAAGTAAAAGTGGAAGTCTCCTGCTAGCGTTTGATGTGTTGGTCTTTCTGACAGTTCATGCTTGAATGCAGGCTCTGAGCTGTCCTTATATCTTGCTTCTTTATATCTTATACTCCTAGTTATGCATACCCAAAGATCAATCTGGTGTTTAGAACTGCAGCTGCCCTAGGTTTCAATGCTCCAGCACATCTGCCTCCCTTCTATGCAGATGATTGCAACTCATGTTGGTTCTGCCATTTATTGATGCTGACTCAACATACAGAAGAGAGAACAAGTCCTTTTATTCCCAGCCAGTGCATTTCCCCCACAAGTCCACGTCCTTGCTTCTTTTCATTGTTTCTCCTAATTCATTTATGCAAACAAACGATGCAAACAGTTTTTTCCTTCCACCCACATTTTCCCTGCTAATTCCAGCCTATTTTATTCCCAGTGTTCCTTAGATGCAAACAAGAAATTATCCCTCTGAATAAAAATGCTCAAAAGGAAAGAGAGAAAGGAGATGCTGAAAAAGTTGTGCAGTATAATCACCATAGGGGGAGATGGGGGGAATGGGTAGGGAAAAGCATGAGGGTAAAGTAAGACACTTACTCTAGGACATCCCGGTTGAACTGTTTCTTGCTGTTCCCAAGGAATTCCCCAATCATCTGTCGGCTGAGCCCCTTGCGCTGCAACAGGAAGTGTGCCACTCCAATTGGTGTATCTGGGATGAAGCCCCGGGAAATAAGGAATTGGATCCCCTTGTCTGGATTTCTGAAAAAGGAAAGATGGAAAGAGCGAGCAATGTACTTTAGAACTCTATTCATTTATTTCACCATTACTGTATTTCTGCATTACATTTATACCACACCTTTATTCCATGGCTCTCCTTGTTTCTTCTTTATAAGAGACGTCAAGCTGATGAATAGACAGACAAAAGTCATTCAGTGGGTCTCATGGCCAGCTGGGAATTGAACCTGGATCTCAAAAGTTCACACTCAAACCAATACAGGTAAACCACACCGGTTGTGCTGGACAGAAGCCTAAGTTCTCTCAACAGTTCTCAAAGTAGAACTAAACTCACATAAAGACCAATAATAATAACAACAATAAACGACAAAGTAAAACCAAGAGTAGTGCCAACATCTTAAAAGCACAGCATTTTTTAAATGGAAAAACTGCAAAATAAGAGTGTACACTGGTCCATTGACCTGATTTGAATACTGATTCCATGCTATGGATCAATACATGATTTTGACTAGGACCCCTACATTTTGATCTGGGCCTGGATTTGAGCCACTATTTGAATTTCTGAATATCTAGAACCCCTATTCTCTTGAATAGATACATGCAAGTTGCTAAAGCTTTAGTAGGTTGTTAAGCATCACAAGGAACTTGTTAACTGATAGAGAATTCACCCACATAACATCTTCCCTCCCTATCTGCCTCTGAATTCATTTCATTTCGACCAAGAGGAGTGACAGCAAAGGCTGTCACCACTCTGTCTCATATTAACAGCCGATTCATTTTTCCCAAAAACTGACTCCTACAATGGCCACTCCATATTGTCAAAGGTCACTTCATTATGTAATATTTGATAATCAATATTTTTGTTCTCCCACATTTTGTTTTCCCCTTTGTGTTCTCACTCTTGGCATGAAACCTGTTGTTTCAAAACAAATCTTGAATAGATGTTCCTCCTAGAAAGGTAAGATATACACATAGAAAATAAGTCAATAGCCAAAATCCTGTTGCTTAATGCAGTAAATCACACTAAAGTAGGCCCATCAAATCAATTGGAATGTGGTAGTCAACTCCTCCATAGATTTCATTGATTCAAATTGGCTACTCATATCGCAACTGATTTTCACATACTAAGTTGCAGTTAGAGTAGACTCATTTGAATAAATTGAACTTATGGAGGAGTTGACTCACTAAATCCCCATTCACTCAATGGGCTTACTCATTTACTAGGCTAAGCAACAGGACTTTGGCCAATGACAATTGCGTATTCCTCACTTAGAATGATAATCATCAATAGAAGAAATAGGTTCTAATTTGTGGTCTGATTGACTGTATTTAAAGGTTTGAGAGTGCTAGCCCTCTAAAATGAATGAAATATCTCAGAGGGACCCTAATGACCAACCACAATTCTGGCTTATTATTGTTAGAAACTGAATTGTTTATTCTGCTGTTGCCTGGACTAGGCATATTACAGACTCAGGAAATAGCTAGTAACACATACTGCCCTGATATTTCTTCAGCACCATGTAATTTTTTTCCCTGCACCCTTTGCTGTTTCTTGATTTAGCTGGCAATATTTCCTTTTATTTTCCTGAGCTGCTAAGCAAGTTGTGGCTCTCTGCTGTGGAATTCCTTCAGCTCTCCTGGCTTTCGTTCCACCTCCAGAGATGGCCGCCTACACAAACCCTGCTATTAGAGAAACACTACATAATGAGGCTTTCTCCACTCCAGGAATTCCACCCACTCGCCACCGAATGTGTTGTTGCTTGAAGTGCCGAGTCACAAAAGCATTCAATTCACAGAAAGCTGACACAGTTCAGAATTACTCAATAATTGCTCATGAGGGAGTTATGTGATTGAAGACATGGATAATAAGGCCACACAGAGGACCTCTTGGGCCACACAGACCCAGTTTTGTTATGGGCAGCAGTTATAATACTGTAGGTAAACCACTGGCATTATTAAATCTGTCAGAGAAGGTTTATGTAACCAAGCTTCCTAGCATTTATTAGTTGGAGCAGTAACAGTTGTTATTCTGTGGGGAGCACTTCCTAGAGCTGAAAGCTCATGTGTACAGCTGTATAGCAAAAAAGAATAGCACTGAATGCATTAAAGCTATTTTGCAAAACAGAAGTCATTGTTTTTAACTATCACTGAGGGTATTGCACAAGAGAGGTAATTAATTCCACCGTGGGAAGCACAGCAAAAATGTAGGTTGTGATTCTGATCCAAAGTAACGTGTGTATGCATGTCTGTCAGGGTGTGTCCCTCTCTGTGTGTAGGAATGCGGATTGATCTCGCCACCTCTGAACACTATATCCTAATAATTATTTTCCTCTATCTGAATTAACCTTGAGTTGAGTCAATGGCGACTAATGCATGAAGGACAGCCAAATAACAGTACTTATGGGTAGGGGAAGATATGATATAAGGAGGGAGGATTAGGTTTCAGAGAAAAGAGGGGCATTTGACTTTTTGATTCCCTCTGTAATGTTCTGATACCTGGTTGCTGAACTATTTATACCTTCTAGCTTAATGGTAAGTAAAGGTAAAGGTTCCCCTTGACGATTTTTGTCCAGTCATGTTCGACTCTAGGGGGCGGTGCTCATCCCTGTTTCCAAGCCATAGAGCCAGTGTTTTGTCTGAAGACAATCTTCCGTGGTCACATGGCCAGTACGACTTAGACACGGAATGCTGTTACCTTCCCACCGAGATGGTCCCTATTGATCTACTTGCATTTGCATGCTTTTGAACTGCTAGGTTAGCAGGAGCTGGGACAGGCGACGGGGGCTCACTCCGTCGTGTGGATTCGATCTTACGATTGCTGATCTTCTGACCCTGCAGCACAGGCTTCTGCGGTTTAGCCCGCAGTGCCACCACATACTGTTATTTAATGCCAGCTCAATCCATAATAAGATTGTGATCACTGATGAACTAATTATAGATGAGAATGCTGACCTGTGGTATATTACCAAGACCCGGGTGGGCAAGTTCAGTAGCACTGATCTTACACAGCTGTGCCCACAAGGTGCTTGGTACAATAGCAATGTAAACCCATGGAGGAAGGCACTGGCATGAATACTATGCTCTTCATCACCGGGAAACTTTTGCCTCCAGCACAGACTCTGACATTAGATGGCAGAAGAAGCTACTGTTGGGGTATTTATTTATTTAATCATTTTTTACCCTATCTGTCTCCTTAAGAAGGACCCCAGGAGGCTTATGTTATTAAAAGACAATATCAAAAGCTAAAAATGCCATAGTAAAAGACAGTAAACAAAACTAACACCAAAAATGCGTTCAAAAGCAGTGAGGCACCATCATCCATTAAAAAAGCCCACTCAGGCAGCCAGTTGCCAAGGGAAAACTTGCCAGAAGACAAGAAAGGCTTGCTTGCAGAAGGACAGCAAAGATGGGTCCAGTCTGGTCTCTTGTGGGAGGGAGTCTGAAGTCTGGGAGTAGCAAGAGAGAAGGTCCCCTCCTGGGTCACCACCAAACGCATCTGTGGGACTCAGAGAAAGGCCTCATCTGATTATCTTAATAGCTGGGCGGGCTCATAAAGGGAGACATGTCTTTGAGACACCTTGGACCCAAGTTGTTTAGGGCTTTATCGGTTAAAATTAGCATTTTGAATTGTGCCCAGAAACAGATCAGCAGCCAATGGAGCCCACCATGATGTCTAACAGCATTCCTGACTGAACTTCCTGAAATGGTATCAAGTGTAGTCTTAGGGAACACCAGCTGTTGCTCGCTAGTTTATTCATTTCAGATCAAACTTAAAACTACTTTATTTCAAAGAGAGATTTGTATGCATAAGCTTCCATGGCTTCTGCACACCGCAAATGCTTTGGATCAGCAGACTCAAGGCAGTTCTTTTCCAGTTTAATTTGAAAGGTTTGAAATGTAAAGGAATCTCACAAAATTTCTTGTCCTTGATGAAACAGGGTGCCTTGAGAGAACCTGTCAAGTACCTGATAGTGGCACAAAAATAAGACAGCAAACATCTTTTTTGTTATTGATTCTATATTTTTGCACAGAATGTCTGCATGAAATGAGTGCTTTTCCCTTTTGGAATGCACAGGAAGCATAGAAGGATTTGCTGATTGACTAAAAAGATGCAAACAACTCATGTAGTGCTTCTACATTTTGAAAGTCCAAGGCAATATTATGCAAAAATCTGATTTCATAGCAAATGCAAAAACTCCTGAAGAGCCAAAACTTTATCTTCTTGCAGAGGAGGAGAACCAAAAAATGACATTTCTCATTCTCATGACAACCAAAATTTACCTTCTGGCAAAGGCTAATCACATGAAGCCAGTAAATATAATATCAGTCCTGGGTTTGAATCCCCACTTAGCTATAAAAATCTGTAAATAATCCAGATCTGGTTTCATTCTCTCTGCCTAACCCACTATGCATATATAGGAATTTTCTAAAGATACTGGGAGATGAACTCTTGTATATGCTGTATAGGTTCCCCTTGACAATTTGTCCAGTCGTGTCCGACTCTAGGCGGCGGTGCTCATCTCCGTTTCCAACCCATAGAGCTAGCATTTGTCCACAGACAATCCTCCATGGTCACGTGGCCAGCGCGACTAGACACAGAACGCCGTTACCTTCCCACCGTGGTGGTACCTATTTATCTACTTGCATTTTTACATCCTTTCGAACTGCTAGGTTGGCAGGAGCTGGGACAAGTGATGGGGGGGCTCACTCCATCACGTAGATTTGATCTTACAACTGCAGGTCTTCTGACCTTGCAGCACAGAGGCTTCAGCGGTTTAACCCGCAGCGTAGAATGCCTTGAATGAATAAAATGTTTTACTGACATTTTAGATTTTATTACTTGATTTTAATATGTAATATTGGGTTTTTATATGCAATATGGTACATTGCTTTGGAATCTCTAGATGAAAAGTGGCAATAAACAAATAAAATAAGTTCTATATTCATTTTCATGTTCATATAAGTAAAATGAGCACTCACAGAAATATGTCAACTACTACTGTATTATCATCTGATTAATCAAACAACAATCAACCATGATGAAACGATATTAGGGCAAATGACAATATTCTCTCCAGGAAGAAATGGGCAACCTATGGCCCTCAGTCCAATGTCAAATGGCTTCTGCAAGCAATCAGTCCAGTCCCCAGGCAAAAGGAACCTGTCCTTCACTCAGAAACCCCTTGGGCAGAGAAGAAGAGGGACATAAGAAAAGAGAAATGGGCATCAGAGAAGGAAAGCAAACAAAACTGGGGCTACAGAGAGAGAGAGAAGCATGGTAGCCCACTCCTCTTTCGTCTCTCTCCCTCAGGCTTTCACTCGCTATTAACATGGAGTACCAATTATCTCTGACAGGATGCAGGCCTCAGCCCATACAAAACTCCCTAACCTCATGTGAAAGTTTCCTGAGGTGTCGAGGATTCTAGACAAAATTGGACCTCTAAGGCAGTGGTCAGGGAACAGGGGTAAATTACCCCAAATGGGGTAAAAATGAAAATCCTGGGGGTAACAAGGATGCGACCCTAACCCCTTCCCTCCTACTCCTACTCCTCTTCCTCTTCTTCTGCCCAGATGGGGGTTCCCCAGCTGCCTGATCACCTCCTTCCCGCCCCCTTCTCCAGCCTGGTTGCAACCAAGCCACGGCGGATGGCAGCTGGCAACGGGCCTCAGCTGGTGGCATGCGGCAGCTGAGGTGGCAGTGGCAGGGCTGGCCATGGTGAAGGACAAGGCCGGGCTGAGCGGCTGGCACGCCCTGGCCAGGAGCCTCTCCTTCCAGTGCCTGGAGAGATGGATTATAGTGGAGGGGGGCAAGTGTGGCCACAATGGCAGCCTGGGCCAGACTCAGACTCCTGGCGCCGGGCTGCCACCCCACACCCTGTTCCTGGAGGAGCCTGTTGGGTGGCAGTGGCACTTGCCCAGCCGTGTGGCTTCCTTTGGCGCCGCCTCCACGCCAGCTGTTGTGGTGCTTCGACAGCGAGGCCTGAGGGAGCCCTGATGCCGAGGCGTGACATGGCCACCCCAGCAAGCAGCTGCCGGTGGTGCAGCAGGAGGTGGCATTGGGTGCCCCTGGTGGGCGAGTCACCTGCTGCTCTCCAGCAGCCTCCCAGGAGCTGCCCACCAATGGAGAAAGGGAGCCACCCCCGAGGACTGAGTGCAGCCCCCCCAGGCAGTGGAGAAGGTGGCCACCACCACCCAGATGTGGGTGGTGAGGCTTCGGTGGCGGCGCTCAACTGGCCGCACGTGACTGAGATCCTTCCTTTCAAATCAAGGGGGTAATGTCAGCGTATATACATTTTTTGGGGGGGTTAAAGGTAAAAAAGTTCCCTGAGCCCTGCTCTAAAGTATATCCTTGAAAACCAAACCTACTTCTATAAATCCAGAGCTGATTTTTTTCCTATCCTAAGAGTCCACTTTTCACGTCGTTGAGCTCTTGTTGTTTTCAGAACTACAGCTATTTCTCAAAGAACGTTACCCATTATCTAGCGTGAAATTTTGTAAACCCACTAAAAGAAAAGAGCCAAAATTTTCAGGCCAGAGTGTCAAATCTCTCTACAGAGAGCATGAAAACTGGGGTAATTTCTCTTGTTAAACTCCTTTTAAAAAAACAACAACACAGATGGTAACTGGGATATTTAGCGCTCACTCTCAAACCACCCTATCTGGATGACAGCCAGAGGTCTATCTCAAGCACTCTAGATGCTAATTGCCTGGATGTGGATCCTTTCTTTCCACATCTGTGGCAGAGCTTCAATGCAGCACTCTTGACTCAAATCTAATGGCTATGGTCCCCTAGATGGCTGGACCTCTATATGTAAATGCAATGCATCTGGAACAAAGTCTAACCTAATTGTTTTTACTAGCCTCTCTTTGCCATGAATGGAAGAAAGCCATGAGGGATTAAAAGCTTTATTATTATTAGCCACTTACATGTTAAAGAGGTTTAGCCCAATGCGGTACAGCCTCTTCCTCATGGTATCTGTGGAAAGAGTTGGAGATTTGCAGCTGGCCGGATTCTCACAGTGGTATCGGGGAAGGCTCAAAATCATGGCCTGCAGAGCTTCCTTCGAAGATAACTCGGAGGCAGACTTGGCTGAGGTGGAGGTGCTGCTGCTGCTCAGCTGCTCTGAGTTGTCCACATTTTCAGCCTCTGAACCCTTGTTCTGTCCCGTCTCATTGTTAGATCCAAACTCAAGCTTCTGCACCATCCTTTGTTCTTGCTCCGCCTCCCCCCCTTCCAAGCCATTAGTGTTGACGGTCCCCTCAGCGACTGTGTGACTATTTTGGAGCATTTCAGGATCGGGCTGCCCTTCCGGAGCACCTTGGGGCTCTTGGACCTCCTTCCCCATTTCCTCCGGGATTTCTTCTATTTTGGCAGCTTGAGAAATCCCAGCCTGGGTGTTGTTGGCAAGGCAGTTGGCCATAGACACCGAGGTAGATGAGGACACAGAGATGTTCTTGTTATCAATCTGGACGGTGACATCCCGGAAAGCCATCATGAGGGTGCTGCTGCTCTTTGGCAGTGTATCAGGCAACAGGCCTTCCTCCTTTGGTTGATCCTTCAGTTCAGCTTCTAAGTCTTGCTTTGGTTGCATTGCACTAGTACTGAATGTTTCTCTTATCTGGTAGGAGCTGCCATCTTGAAGGGAACACATCGTCTTCAGGCTCCACGTGCTGAGGGCATCATCTATTGATTTGGCCAAAGATTGGACTTGCTCGGTGAAAGAGTCCTCCAGTTCAGTCAGCGCCCCACTGATGGTGGCTGGCAAAGATGGAGATCTCACCAAGGGGATGCCAACAAAGTTATATCCTTCCATCAAAGCTTTCTCAGCAGAAAAACTTTCAGAGTTCTGGACTCTTACTTTTCTCAGTGAAATCCGCCGGGGCATGCGACTCTCTAGGAGCGAGTTCCGTATCTTCTCAAAGTTTTTGCTGAGCTGGTACTGGCGGAAGGCAGTCTGGATAGTACAGGCTGCCCTCCGAGAGACCAGGTGGCCTCCATATTTGTGCTCTAGCATTTCGATCTGAAATACACAAACAAGATTTTAGACATTGATTTCTGAAGAGTCTTCATGACCTCTATTTCCAAACGGATAACTCTCTAATGGTATTGTCAGACTCAATATTGCATTTGTGTTTGAGGTTTTCCTCCCATCCCTGCACTGCAGTGCTCTCCTCCGCTCACAAGCTAATGGTCTGCATTTGATTCTAACAAGAGGTTGGATAGTCTCCCCTGTTAAATAGTGTGCACACACTTACCTTAATCAGATTTTTCTAGGTATATGAGATATTAAAGAATGTGTTTTTTTGAGCACCACCTTTGATGAGTTTTCATGGTGGAGTGGGGATTTGAACCCAAGTCTCCTCATCAGTCCTAGTCTGTTACTCTGTCTGGTACACCCAACCAGTTCTTGTGCAAACCCTAAGTGTTCGCATATTCTAGGATTCAGGGCTTCCCATTTATTACAGACTAGTCTGTTACTCTGTCTGGTACACCCAATCAGTTCTTGTGCAAACCCTAAGTGTTTGCATATTCTAGGATTCAGGGCTTCTCATTTATTACAGAAAATAAATACAGTGGTGCCTCACATAACGAGTGCACCATTTAACGACGAATCCGCATAGCGATCTATTTTTTGGGATCGCTAATGCGATCGCATTGCGATGTTCTGAATGGGCAAACATCGCATTGCGATGATCGGTAAGCGTTTCACCTACCGATCTCCGCATTGCGGTGTTTTCAGAACAGCTGATCGGCAGTGCAAAAATGGCCGCCGGGTGCCCAAAATGGCCACCGCAAGCATTTTCGTGCATTGCCCTCGCTTACTGAGGTGGCGAAAATGGCGGCGCTATGGAGGATCTTCGCTGAACGTTTTTTAGTTCCGTTTAGCGATGTTTCCGGATAGCGACAATTAATCCGGAACGGATTAACGTCGCTATGCGGGGCACCACTGTACATTTTTAGAGGAATCCCAACATCTATGAGTAAACAATATGGTTTAAAAGCACATGATGCATCCATATCAAAGAAATGAAAAGATAAGCTAATAATAATAATAACCCCAGACACCAGCAGCACTAATTTTTTTATACAATGCCAAGCATGAAAAGGTCTTCCTAAAAGATGCTAAGGTTCATGTCTGGGAGTGTCTCTGGGGATGGAGGTCGTACAACTGTGAGACTGCAACCTCTAATAAGTCTCTGGGCGCAAGAGGCATTTATAACCTATGGCTCTGATGCTTTCTGAAAAACTGCAGTGGGAGAAGGATACATTTGGGGCACGTGATGCTTTTATTGATGAAAACAGATAAGGAGGAGTGAGAATTCATTTTCAGTTTATTTTTGAGAATTTTTTTAAACCAGAACTGAAATTATATTCATATTTCGGATGAAATCAATCTAAGATTTAAAAAAGCAGAATGCTGGAGATGCAGGAATAGACAGATTCATCCATACAGGCTCAGAGTTTTGAGTACTGTTGTGTTCTACCATCCCAATTAATTAATTATTTCCACCTCTCTTTTTTTTTCTTTGACAAGCAGATACAACATGGTCCTCTCTATGCTGGGAAAAGCTACACCTATTGGATATGGATGGTGGAAATGTTAGAGAATTTTGTTTACATCCATTTTTGAAGTATTTCCCAACAGTCACAAATTTCTTCATATCAAAGGGAAAGAAACAGGTTTTTAAAAATCTGAATATAAGAAAAGTTGAAATCCATAGATTTTTTTCCCATGCTTAAGAGCCAACCTGTTCTGCAGAAAATAAGAACTGTCTGTCAACACTACAGCAGTAGTGTTAATATTTACAAATCTATGAACAATATCTGATGACATTATTTGAAGGACTGTTTGTGTTTTTATAATGCTAACTCAGTGTTAACCTCTGCTTCAGAGGTCTTGTTTTCTGGCTTGCAACTGATAGAGATTAGGAATGTGTACTATTAACACTTTCTCTGCTCGGCAGAGGAAATGGGGGGAAAACCTTTATCTATATATAGACTATTGCTGATGTGCTGCATAAGTTATTTTTTTAAAAAAAAAATCTTTTCTTTGCCTTCTTCTAAAGGGCTGTTAAGAAACTGTCTGCAGCTGAAGCCACCATTGTGGATTTGACATTGTGGGCGATTTCTCAACCAGCCCTTTAATGTAAGATGAAGAAAAGATTTCTAAAAAATTATAACTGATGTATAAAGAGTTAACATACTTTTTTTTAAAAAAAATCTCACTTCCTCTGCCGCTCCCAAGCAGGGGGAGTGATTAACTTGCCAATATCCTGTAGTGGCTTGCTTATTAAGCCACTTTGTGATACTGGCAAACTGAAAGAGGAAGGCTTGCTTTGGATTAACTCCAGCAATAACATGTGTTGTAACCAAGCCAAACCAGAGTGAACTTACTTGCATGGAAAAAGTGCAAGCCCCTTGACAGGGGCCAGAAAGGTGCAGGTAAGAAAACTCCAGGGGTAATCTAGGGCACTCTAGTGAAGATACTGTCTGATTGCCATCATTAAGAGTACACTAGCCTGTCTCTGCAAGCCCTCCAGACAGTGAGCTAAACAGCCCATGTAGTCAGCCTCTAAACCAATGGAAATGATTCCGTGACATGGTTGCTTATGAGATGTGGTCAAATGTGGCCTTCTACCTGTTGTCAGATTGCAGCTCCCATCAGCGTTAATTAGTATAGCCTATAATAAAACATGTTGGAAACTGTAGTCCAACAACATTCGGAAGCTCACAAATTGCATATTCCTGGTTTAGCCTTCAAGGCCCTTAGAGATTAGGGCCAATCATGAAAATCTTCTAGAACGAATTCATTTCCGCATATGCACATGCAGATCAACAGAGGTAAAACGATTAACGAGGAAAGAAATAGTTTTGGGGGGGGTCTTCTCTCCCTTCTGAAAGATCTCAAAATCTGATTTTAACAGGTGGGATAAGTATAAACATCAAGAAGAATGAGGCTATAGAAGAAACCCAGCCACTCAGGCTAATGATAAGAAACACTAATTGGGCAAAAGCCTACCAAAGTGGACAATTCATATTGGCAGTTTCTGTGCCCAAATGTTCTGTTTCTTAGAGGAATCCTTGTAAAAACAGCCTCCTTATTAGTGTGCTGATAAAAGATCAACAAGTGGACCATTAGAGAATGGTTTCTGTCTTCACCATGTATCGATCCGCTTCAGTCCCAATGGCCATTAGATGACAATGGTGGTGGTGATGATGCAGACAATGGATGACTATGGTGAAGAAAACTGAAAGGACAACTCTAATTGCTCCCCTAGAGATGTAAAGAAGATATACTGAGGCTGGGACTGAGTTTTTCTTTTTCTTTTGCCTTATAGCAGACTTTCCTCTTCAGAGTCCTGCTGGAAACTGGTACAGTATTTATTAAACTGCAATAAGATGGAGAATTGAAGAGGAGGGCCAGGCAGTGGAGACAGGGTTGCATTAATGAGCAGAGCACTGTATTCATGAAAAATTAAGCATACTGACACAAGTCCCTATTCTTCCCATTCACAGTCATTATTTAAAACATCTGTATATGGAGAACAATCTAACCACCATGATCCTGTGGTTGCTTTCTTAAGAAATTATTTCCATGGATTCCTGCTTCTGTTTCACACCTCAGTTTAGTTTCTGCACAAGTATATAGATCAAGAAAAATTAGCAAAATAAATAAGTAATGATATTGGAGGAATTATCAACACCCTAGCCCTGTGAATATATCCAAAAGGACAGCTGGTGGGCTTAACAAATCTTGGCATAAAGAAAAAGTGAAAACTCAAAAGAGTGCACTGCTCAATATTTTACTTTTCCTTCTCTTGTCTATCAGCATCTAATGACTGAAACATCCACTCCAGGAAAAAATGTATGGGTGAGCAGGGGGAGCACTATTTGTGCAACTGATGGGCTGTAAATATGCATCTGGACATGCACGTTTGTGCATCACAATGCACACCTGTACCCCAACCATCTGATCAGCTGTATCTTTTGATCAGAGCTTAGAGATATTACTTTTATGAACTGCAGCTTCAAGAAGCTACTCTGCCCCTTCCCCAGCCCCATCCCACTCCATCATCACAGGCTGCAGCAACCATGTTGGCTAAAGCATTTTTGGAAGTTGTAGTCAAAAAAGGTAATGTTCCCCAGCTTTGCTTGCAATATATATTCCCATCTGGGTATACCAGTTGGCCACAGTTTGCAGCAGATGAAACCAGTTAGGTCCGGGCCAAAATACTGAAGAGAACAGTCTTGTACCCTTTCCCACAGATGGTTTTGGAAACTTCAGTTATGGATATTGCTCATCCTGAGCATTAGATTAATTGCTGACCTGGGCTGTCTCACTTTGCCTAATTAAGGTGCCTTTCTTTACAACACATATCCATAAGCGATTAGAACTTCTCCGCCTCTACCCATTCTTGCCATTTAAATATAGGGAAATGTAGTTATGAAAAGCTCATCACAGCTAACTGAGCTCATATGTTACCTTCTTTTAGTGCTACTGGAATACTGTAAATGCTTCAAAGCATGTCCAGACTCAGTCCAAAAAAACACTTCAAAAAATAGATTGAATCACATCTCATGGATATGCATAGTCATAGGTGCTGAGGCTTTCATAGGATCTCTTCAGCACAATCAAATACACAAAAATGTGCCACTTCAGTGCTGATGACAAAATTTTACAATGTGGATATGTATCTTAGGCTTTAACTCCTTTTATTGTAGTGTCAAATTATGACCAAATTTTGTGAAGTATAACATACATAGAGTATCAATGGAGTAGACAGAATCTACACATTAAAACTGAACTGCTAAAAGCACAGATTTGGAGAAGTATAGAAGTGAAAAGGAACCCAATCATCACTAAGTCCAAGCTCTCCCTGATGCAAGAAATCCATGGGTAAATCAACTCTGATAGATGATCATCCAGCCTTTGTCTAAATACCTCAAATGAAGGGGAATCAAACAGTTCAATTATCTGAACAATTCAACTGAACTGTCAAATAGCAACTATTGTCAGGA